TATATCAATTATAAAGTAAATATTAACATTTTTTATTTTGCTATTAAATATACATAAGATGACTTTTTTATACAGGAACAATGTCTGAGGAACAATTCTCTTTAGTATGGAACAGTTTTCCAAGAAATCTCTCCTCAGGCTTATACACTTTATTGACAGACGAACAGCTTGTAGATGTTACTCTAGCAGCTGAGGGCCAAATTTTGCGAGCCCACAAGCTGATATTGTCAGTTTGCAGCAAATACTTTCGAGAGCTTTTCAAGGTATTGCTTTGACAGCAATAATGACATACAATGCAATAAGTGTTATTTTTTTTGTAATTCTATTTATGCGCTTTGTATGCATAGGGACATTCCTGCAAGCATCCTATTGTCATACTGAAAGATGTTAATTATCGAGATTTGTCTGCTATGCTGCACTTCATGTATCAAGGCGAGGTCAATATAAAACAGGAGGATATTGCCAGTTTTCTTAAAGTTGCAGAGACCCTCCAAATAAAGGGGCTTACCACAGACTCAGACGAAGTATGTTATAATATTATAATAATTATTTTTATGATGATTGTCTTGTATACAAGACAATCATTGTATACAGAGTGCATCAGAAAAGAGTGTTAGTTTAATCATTACGTAATAATGTATAAAATGAAAAGAGATTGTGGTACTATTTATTTCTAAGGAGATTACTTATTTTCTGAGACACTATAAATTCAAGTCAAATGAGAATATACAGTGTTTTATAAACCTGAATGCTATGCTGCAGAAACTTGAAGATGTTCTTGAAAAAAATGTCGAGGATTTGAAAGATCATCTCTTCGATGTGGAAAGGGACAAAAGTAATTCTGGCAGCGGAGACGAAAACACAGCCGCTTTCAGCAGACTGACACACGCTGCAGAGAGGGAACAATCTATAACGAGGCAAGACACTTCGACGGAAAGAAGATCATTTGCTGAACAGATGTCAAGTGACATTTGCCATCGACAAAGTTTCACAGAGGACGACTACGATCATCGAGACACACAGCCAGCGTTCAGAGAGAGATGCAGAAGCGCGGACACGTTACCGAGTATGATGGAAGAGCAGCCGCTGGATTGCACATCCGACGTGAGCCAGCTGCGTGAAGCTAAGCACGAACCGGTGGATTATACGATGGACATGGATGCGGAACCGAGTTACAAGTCGTACACGGCGGAGAAAATACTCTATAATCCCGAGGAAAATGTGCAGAGACAAGGTAGTGATCCCTCCCCGCTCTGTCGGCATCTTGTACTTTAAAGACGACGCTATCGGTAGATCAAATGACGTCGTCGAAACGTCATCCGGAGCTGAAACGCCCTTTGGCAAAGAGAAAAGTTTGCTGTACCAGCAGTAGCCGACGCCCCTAAAGGTTTGACACACTCAAGTGTTGCCACGGATGAATATGTGTACTTTGTTATTGAGAATCATTACCACGTGTTTGACTGCGACGCAAGCTCCTAAGCACTTTTACGTACTTTTTTAATTAACCCCCGGTATCTAGTGCGACTTAGCGTCACGCTATCATTTTTTCCAAACAATGTTTACTTACAGATCTTGAACGCGTTACGGTAAGAAGTATTTATGGATGTTTACCACGTTCTATATCACGTCGGGATATGGAACCCGGTTCGCTCGTCAAGTAGTAAACGCCGGGGGTTAAAGTCAGTTAGTCTCTACGATCAAAGCAATATCTCACGTTTTGCATGTTCACGCGAATGGGTGTTTCAAATCCGAGCAAGCAATGTTCCTCGAGACTTTATACTACCACATAAATTCACCACCGCAGGCACTTCATCTCATCGGCCATGAATGTTTAGAGAAAGCGATGTTATCTTACAGATTTCGCGCCAGATACGCAGTTAGTTCCCTACAATCAGAACTCACAAACTCAGCCGTTCGGTACGTTTTACACATTTGCCGCATTTCGCTTTGTCGTTCATCTCTTGAACTCATTTAGTTGCACGTTTAAGGGAACCAATTTGCCAGAATTCTTTTTGCAGAATGAATGTAGCGGAGTAATGTGTGATTGGTTTTACATGTTCATAAGATATTTATGCATTGGTTTCCCGCTACAGACGTTCCATTTGTCTTTCCTTAAATCGCGAAACTATGTATATTTTCATACTAGTTTCAAATACAGCTTTTTATACTGATTATTGTTTTGCAAGTATGTACAGACGGCGAATGCATTATTTCTCTTTTTAGATGCTATTAATAATTTTAAAAAAAAAGTAATTTTGTAAAAGAAGTATAAATTATCATTAACTCTTCTTTTATATTTCTTCGCAAGTTTTAAATTAATATTCCTCATTCTTATCGCATTAATTTTTCCAGTGTTCGGAAAATCGCATCTCTGTTGTACACACTGCTTGCACATATAATATATATATATATATATATATAATATACTTCTCTCGTCTTTTTCTCTTTCATACATTTATCTACGACCCCGTTTAACGTGTTTCTCATTTTTTGTAATTCCTCGATAGTCGCTTTATCAAACGAACTATACATCTCTAATATTTTTTTACATCTCTTCCACCAGGTTTGAGCAATGTCTCAGCGTTCCAAGGTGATTTTGCATACGATATGGCGACTCTCGGCAACAAGGGTCGACGTACCGTCAAAGGTATTCCCGGTAGCAGCCTGCCGCTGGAGGCTACACTGCGTGTCGTTTCGGAACTGAATCCCACGCTACGCGTAGACCGCGGCAAGGTAATACGCATGTATGCGTGTCCGTGGTGCCTGCGTCATTTCACACGCAAGGAGAATCTCAAACTCCATGTCCGTTACATTCACGGTCCGCTTGAAAGTCTCACGTGTAAGCTTTGTGGCAATAAATATAAGAACAGTAACAGTCTGCGTGTACACTCCTACCTCTATCACAACGCCAAGCGGGATAAGCACGGGAAGCCGCTGACAACAGGCGACGGCGACGGCGACGGCGGTGGAGGCGGCGTGTAAAGAGAATGTCGGATTCTCTTTTTCTTTTCTACGACAAGCTCAGCGAAAGACACTGGACATTTTGTGTATTAACGAGACGAGAATGCGTAAAGCTGCGAGTGCAATTTGTTATATTTATACCTGCGCACCATACTACAATCGACACCTTGTTTAGACGTATGTAATAAGTACCGAATATTTCTATACGTTGCTAAATTAAGCGGAAGGTTTGTAGAAATAAAGCGCCTTATTGTACATATGTTTTTACAGACCTATATACCCATCCCATTTCGTCGCGACGCCAAACGATTATGGGAGACACAAATGTACGAATATATGAGTATTGTTCTATGTATATACGCGTTGCGTTGCAACATGTAGCTAAGTTGTGTATTGCGAAAATCGAGAGTAGATACTAATTTACATTGTGATTTAAGATCATTAACTACCCATTCAGAAGAAAAATCTAATCTCTGTTTGAGCGTCTGACGACTAATTTTCGCTGTTCTGTACGCATTTTATAATTTGGTATTTCGTTTCAGGACATTTTTAAAATTTTGTATTAACCCTAAAAAGAAAGATTGCTGAAGGAGGCAAATGTTATTCAAACCACATTGTATTTTTCTCATGATTGTATACTGTCTCAAAATCAACAGATTTTTGTACGAAAATGTTGTAGCTTCATTTTTAATCCATCCCTGCTAAATATTTTTCAAGTTCATAAATAAAATAGCTCTGGAGGAATTAAACATCTTATATACATCTGAGATGCGCATTTAAAATTTAATTTTCCACTTTTATATATAGATTAATGTCTAATCAAATTGTATTTTCAAAGATACTTTAAATACATACATACTTTATACATTTATGTGAAACTTACATTTAGTAAAAATAGTATAAATACTATTAATTATTCCAAGAATACATTTTACATATTAGTATACTTAAGTCTTAACAAAAATAGACTGCTTACGTTCCTTAAAGGAAATATATATTGTTTTATATATTTGTTTTTTTTTGCTAAATATAATGCAGCGAGTCCTTGTCAGAAATGAGGCATGTAGAGCCAGTCTTGTTAAGAAGATTTCTTTTAGAAAAGATAACATAGTTTATTTTTTCGGCCATGTACAAAGTAATATCAGTTGCGCAGAAATTATGAATAACGACAATGCAGATACAAAATTCAATTCTTTTATCAGGCGCAGATGAAATTTCGCAGATCGAGTTTTACTCATGTATCAATGAAAGTGTACGTATTAATCTATACCATTCTTCTATACACTTTTTACAAATATAGGAAGAAGATATCTAAAACTGAAAATTTATTACATAAATTTGAATTATTACAAAGTTGAAAATTACTACACAAGGAATCCCGAGATTTTTAGAAGATTTTGCTATGACAATAGTCATTCTTTACATCATATGTATTATTTATCTCATAACATTAACATAAGCTCGCATTTTCAGAACAAACTGTAAACAATAGCAGATTTGAATGTGTCGTACTAACAGAAACTTATAATAAACGACTCTGATGATCGAAGACTTCAATCAAGTAGTACAACATGCGCCTTTCAATACAAAAAAATATATATTTAAATAGTAAACAATAATATTCGATGCGGACATCAACAAGTATAATAATAGAGTTAAATTAAGATAAGAGGATGCAAAGAAGGTCCTCCATGTTAAAAATGAAGTCTTCAGTCTTGCAGAGTAAAGTAGAAATAAACAAAAAATAAATCAAGTTTTCTGACAAAAATAAACACTGCAGGAAGGATAATTTTCATTTAGTCCATTTTTAAACACGATGCTTTGAGTCTCAACACAAACCACCTGTTTGCTGTTGATATACCTCTATCGTATCCCCTTCCTCCATTTCCAATGATGTAGGTGTGTCGGATTCATTTATGGGCTGTCCATCAAATCTAAATCTTACCGCTGCTATCGCCAAACCCTGTGAAGCAACAATAGTGACATTTATTTTATAATTATTTTTAAAAACATAATAGCACTAAATAATAAAGATAAGATAGTTTATCAATTACATTATACATTAAAAAACTGTTTCACCAATGTAACTAAAAATTTTATATTTGTTATCAGCATTAAATCAAGAAAATATACAAAAAATATTTCACTGTGATATATTGTGCCAAAATATAACTAATTTTTGCAAATACCATAAGAAACCAAATATCCTCACGTAGAAAACACGCAATAAGAATTCAACGTAACAGAATTGATAATTTGACAGAATCATTGACAATAATAACAGTGTGCAAAGTGTCAGGCACTTACCACGCGATCGCAGTATGCGTTCATCAATTTACGAAGAGGTGTATGTTTTTTAATTTTGAACTGAACTACTGCATTGTCCTGACCCAAAACCTTCAAGTTTATGTGCTCCGACTCCACTTTCGTTTCCTGTACGAACAAAGAACGATCAGTATAAGACGCGCGGGAGACGCTACTCGCGCTGCAAGGTCGTAAATAATCGTCGGTGCGTTAGGGTTAGGAAGCGTTACCTTTTTCTCATCCGACATGGTGCCGCGATTTGTATAATGACACAAAGACTGATTACGTTCACTAGAGATCACCAAAAATCACAAGATCGGTAATAAAGTCGACTTGATCTATTTATACGATTACTGTGATGTGAATAACTACTGGAGCAAATTCCTCAAAACACTCGCTGAGAAATCCCGCTTCTTCCTCAAAACGGCGACCACGACGTTGCCATCTTGCATGAATGATGCGTTATATAGACGCTCACTGTGAATCAGTGAGCTATATAACATACTAGAGTGAACCTTGAAGAAGTGGTGATGGTCTACTGTAGAAGGAGAGAGAAATAAATTGGATAAGAACGTCTGTCTCATGTCTTCGTTTTTAATGGAAGTTTTCCACCAAGAGACACAAGCGACACTAGAGGTCTGTTCTTTATAGCTGAACTGGCTGTACTAGTTCAGAGTTTATCTTTTTCCCTCCACATTGGAAGGAGAAAGATAAACTCTGAACTAGTGCAGCCAGTTCAGCTATAAAAAACAGACCTAAAATCACACAGTGTTCGACATACTATCTTTTATCATAAGTGGTAGTAAATGTGAAAGAAAGACAAACGTCTCTGTCTACTATTGCTATCCTTGAACCGCAAATGATATATTAGTTCTTATGGAAAAGCTCATTTCAGTGTGTTATATAGCCCAATAATTTTAATCCATCCCGAACAATTAATCATTATTTTATTATGAATTCAAGCCTTTTATTGGCGGAGACGATGCAATGACGTCATTAATCAATTTTGGGTAAAAAAAAAACGTTCACTCGAAAACGCTGACAGATTAATGACAGATAGATCAATCAATTGTAAATTAAATTATAATTTATAATTACTTAATATATAAAATAATTGATAAATTTCCATACATTTGTTGTTTCTCTATCATGCAAGTTACGTAATCTATGGTCATTGCAGACAACTTACGAGAAAAAAAATCGCTTCAGGTAAAAAAATTATTGCCATCTGGTGATGATACGTCGCACTTGAGCGCAATTTGTGACGTACCGTGTCATAGCATAGTGTGCCGCGGAACTCATGTGTGTGAACACGCGTATTAAAAATGTTTGTTTTTAGTTGATAATTGTTCTGATAATACTAAACATGATGGATTATGAATTTAAGATGAAAACACAAAAGGACCGCACGAAGGTTGAGGATCTCTTCGAGTTCGAGGGATGTAAAGTCGGAAGAGGTACTTACGGGCACGTATACAAAGCCCGTAGGAAAGAAGGGTTAGTCTCTCTAACCTTGCTTCAAACCAACGTACAAAAGTCTCTCAATTCCGTCCAAACGTTTTCGCATATTCGACAATTTAAGTTATGCAATTTCTTCAGTTGAATACGATACCTTTTGATTCGTTTTTCTCCCAAGTTTTTAACGATTCTTATTTTGGAGTCGATGTATTTGGAGCCGATTTTTCCATATAAAAGTACTTGCTGTCATTCTATCGATCGTCCTTTATTTAAGGTTTCTCGAAAAGCGAAAAAGTATATTCATTGATTGTCTAGCCCTGCACTCAGCGTTTACGTAGTTTTTTTATTCTACAACTATCGTATTTGTTTAGAATGAAGATTTTGTAATCAACGTAATAATTGATTCTAAATTTGAGAGTTATATTAAATGCTAAATATGGTGTAAGCATAGGCTAAAACAAACATTATTTTAATACGTCATTTATATGTCTAATTATTATTATTTTTACATTCTGTATGTATCTGTAAAAATTAATATCAAATAATGTAATATAAATATAAATATTAATTTATTTTCATTTCTTAACTAGTATTAGTTGACGATTTCTTAATCAATATTTATTCTTCTAAATTTATCGTGATAATTATTTGTGTAAAGTTTAGTTTTTAATCTCTAGGTTGCAAATCTTGAATATGTAATTATAAATAGCTTATTTCATAATATTGATGTACAAACTTTGGGTATAGCGTACCGGATAGTGAATTAAAGTCTCGGCCTGATACAAAAGATTTTGGCCTTAAACAGATTGAAGGTACAGGACTTTCAATGTCTGCATGCCGAGAAATTGCTGTAAGTTATTTTATTGCTCTCAAATGATGCAAAAATATGTCTACAGCTTATGATGGAGAGTTTTTGATCTGGTCTATTTTGTTTCAGTTACTCAGGGAATTAAAGCATGTCAATGTCATTACCCTTATTCGTGTCTTTCTCTCACATAATGATCGTAAAGTGTGGTTATTGTTTGACTTTGCCGAGCATGACTTATGGGTATGTTTATATGCAAAAAGGAAGTACTTTGGCGCAACATGATACAAACATGATTTAATATTGTGCGAATGTTATTTGCAGCATATAATAAAATTTCACAGAGCAGCAAAGGCTAATAAGAAGCCAGTAATGGTACCGAAAGGCATGGTCAAATCTTTATTATATCAAATCTTAGATGGCATTCATTATTTACATTCCAACTGGGTTCTTCATAGAGATTTGGTAATTGTTATGAGCATAATTGCATTGTGCATATTTTTACTATATCTATCATATCATGGTGATAATAATGATGGCATATGATGAGATTAGATTTCTTTGTTTTAGAAACCGGCAAATATTTTAGTAATGGGTGAAGGGAATGAGCGGGGACGTGTGAAAATTGCCGACATGGGCTTTGCTAGATTATTTAATGCTCCTCTTAAACCTTTAGCGGATCTAGATCCTGTTGTAGTAACATTTTGGTACAGAGCTCCGGAATTACTTTTAGGTGCCAGACATTACACGAAAGCTATAGGTCTGCATTATTCCAGCATTTATATACGTCATCGCATCTTTCCAGCTTGTACAAATTGTATTACATTCTTTATTCTGTTATTGCAGACATATGGGCTATCGGTTGCATATTCGCGGAACTTTTAACATCCGAACCGATATTTCATTGCAGACAAGAGGACATAAAAACCAGCAATCCATACCATCACGATCAGCTAGATAGGTGAGTTTCTATGCTCACTTTGCATAGTGCGAGAAACAACGAGAAATAACTCAATTTATGTTTAGGATATTTAATGTGATGGGATTTCCACTGGAAAAAGATTGGGAGGATATTAAAAAAATGCCGGAACATCCTACCTTACTCAAAGATTTTAAAAGATCAAAGTAAGTTTGTAAAACGTAACTTTATCGATATCTCATTATAATAGCTTTAAATACTAATTATTTTATTTTCAGTTATGCGAATTGTTCGCTTACTAAATACATGGATCGACATAAGATTAAGCCCGATAGCAAGGCATTTAATTTGGTGCGTATTAACAGAATTATGTAAGTTTAATGATATATTGAGCGAACATAATTGTTATCGAACGACATGCATTATGTTTCAGTTGCAAAAACTGCTGATGATGGATCCAAACAAGCGTATCACATCGGAGCATTCTATGCAGGATGCTTACTTCCAAGAGGAGCCACTGCCAACACAGGAGTACGAATCTATTTTCGTATCAATTTTAATTAATATTTTTGCTCAACCAAACTTATTTAATATAAAAATTTTAGTATATTTGCTGGGTGCCCTATCCCTTACCCCAAGAGAGAATTTCTCACGGACGACGACACCGAAGAAAAGACTGAAAACAAAGCAAGGCAAAATCAGCAGCAAACGGTAATTACCTCCGACGTATGTTGTAAACACATAAATTTATAATCATATATTGGTTTAAGCCGCAACTACTATAAGATAGCTACTGTAATGTAAGGATCTAGTTTGTAATATCCACTTAAGTGTGCACTTTTCTTAATTGTTTTTCATATCCTTTTTTTTTGTTTTTTAAAAACGGCTTCAATTGTTTAACGGCCCTGTATCGACCGCTGCAGTGGCAAGGCGAGTGACGCCCATTTTGCCGCTGTCTAAGCCCCGTCGCTATATGGTAGTTGAGGATTGAACCGATTTTTACATCGCCTTGTGTCGCTCATCCGAGTATTCGTGCAACAGCAACAGCAAAATCAACAGCAGCAAGGTAACGGTGATCACAATCATGGACAAAATGCGAAACGGGTGAGGTTGAACGGGCCGCACGGCGCTCCAGAGTTCCATCAGCATCAAAGTCACGCGATGACGCATCAGCAGCCGCCGGGGATGGTCTACTCGACGGCCCAGCCGACGCAACCGTCGAACTTTCATCAGCGTTTCTAATTATACTCTAATCGACTTATAATCAGACCGACCGATCCGAATCAGGCCAAAACTTAAACTGTCACTAATTGCATTAATTTAATTAATTAACGCCCTGTCAACAAAGCAGTAAGTGATACGTGTATATTCCGTATACAGTATGATAATACAACTTTATTTATATATATATAAACGTGAAAGATTTTTCTTATCTTCCAGACGATTTTCCTGCATCCGCTTTTCCTCCTGTATCCTGTATTTCATTAACACATTCGACTGTGTCTTCCCGGGAAGGTCTCGATCTTGAGAGCACCTATGATGGTCGCGAAGACAGGCAAAGACAGAAAAGGTTTTACGCGACATGGTGGCAAGGGGGAAAAAGGGAGCAAGAGGAAGGATTCGATCGCGCGTGGGGAGAGTGATCGGAGTTGGGCGCCGATTAAAGCGGAAGGGGAGCGTGTTGCGCACGCGCGATACGTCTTACACGCGTGTGATCGCGGTGGAGTTCGCGTCGTCGCGGGCTCCTGAAACGCAGTTTCCGCGACTCGCTGCTCGGCGAAAAAAGTGCGTGCGCGCGTGCCGTTCCGATCATTTGGGATGCTAGTCAGGCGGTGCGCCATCGACCTGGGAGTCATCGTGGTGGTTCGATGAGAGGACGAGGTAGGTGAGGAATCGCTGTTTTACGTTTTGCAACTTTATGATGAAGTAAAATCGTTTTTATTTATTATCCACCGCGCGCATTGTGTAAAAGAATTAGAAAAAAATTTGGAGGCTTAAAAAAAAAATTCTTTTGAATTTAAAATATAAAGACAGATCCTAAAGCAGGATGAACAGCAACTTAATTAATTATTTAAACAATATAATGTCTAATGTGGTATCATTATTGCGTGAGAATGATAATTACCATCTTTGAAAGCAAGAACGCGCCTAGGATCTATAGAGATCCCAAAACATTTAACCGAAGCAATATCTCGATCTGTTTTTGCATTAATTTATTTAAACACAATTCGAATTCAATTTAAAAATTGAAAATAATTTAAATTTGAATTATTACTCTGAGTTGTGCTTGATGCTGAATTGAAGACATTGTCACGTATATTTGCACAATTAAAATTATTGCATTTTTAGTTGATAATTACGCATTGTTTTTACACACTTAACATATGATATATAAAAATAACATTTATTTTATAAAATAAAATAAAACTCAGCATACGTAGAGGAGACGTGTTCACTGCCAAACGTATGTTGATCTGTTTATCGCGCTTATTCAGCGCTGAGCTGTCTCATCTTCATTTTACTTTGAATGCAATCTTTTTATCACATGTATAAGGTGTAGCGTGACGGATGCACCTAACGTTGTATAAAAAGAGTGGGGTAACAAAAGAAAACAAAAATCCGTGCGATTCAAATGTCGTGTGATTCTGCGTCGCGCAAAGAGACTTTAATGCTTGCATAAGTAAGAACTCTTTTTCTCTCTCTCTCCCTCTCTCTCTTTTTCTCTCATATTTGCGCTTAAGATTTTCGCATTTTCCTCGTGAGGACAATTATTAGAGGAGGGATCGTTAAATACCTGTGCCACGGTCGCGCAGGTGCGGTCTCCCTAAGCGATAAGCGATTAGTGCCGCTGGCACAGTAAGGCACTTGATTTAATCTACAGACAAACAGGGCCGCGGTCTCAGATCGATTGGATTGATCGAATCGAATACAATTGGACTTCGCACTCATAGAGAATTCTAACTGTACATATTAATTTATTTTAAATATATACATTTTTTGTTCATATTTAAAATATATTCTATTTAATTCTATTTTATTCTATTTAAATTTATTTATTTTAGATATATATGTAATAATTACTGAATTTATCGATAAATAATTAATTGTACAAAAAGCGGCATTGAGAAATAATTTTCATATTACGCTGCACTTTGAGTTCGCTATTATTTCATTAAGATTTTATTTAGATTATTAGATTTGATTTCAAAATAATTAATATTAATTTATTATATTTAAGTATAAATACATCTCTTTCTTGATATCGATCGTACTTGATAAAGCTCGGCCCTGTCGCTCGGTAAACAAATGTGGCATTTAGAAGTAGCGAGCGCGCGCGACGCGATAACTGCTCTCGATTGCGAGGCGTAAAGGAATCGAGGATATCGTTGAAAATATCGGTTTAATCCCATCGCCTTTATTTCGCTCTTAATCCATCGGGCATGCACGGCCAAAGCGCGCGAGCGGAATGCAAACGCGACGGAAAAACGCCGGCAGCTTAATGCTGCGCCCCGTAAATACGTTAGAGATCTGAGAGAATTAACTCTGTGAGTAGTAATTGCCTGCTCCTTTCTGCACGTTATAATTCAAACTACGAAGTACGAAAAAAAATTAATTCATGCTTAACCATTATCGCATTACGTAGGCTTCGGGCAAAAAACCAAATAAATTCAACAAACTATACTTTATCAATAAAGTCTGACGTTTTAAGTGTTTTTTTTTTATATCATGGAAAACAATATAAAGTTAACATTGAGCAATTAAAAATGATTTATTTAAGAATAGTCAGATTTTATGCGTATGAAACACAATTATTTTTAAATAGAAAATTTGAAAAAAAACCATTTGTCATTATTGTCGGTAATTAAAAATCAATAAGTGAAGAAGCTAGAGAATAATGAAATTTTAATATCGTATTTTTGATACTTTGACCGATAATCTCTGTAAAATAAGAATGAACGACCGATGATTTCTCCGGTATATCGTCGTTGCGTGTCAATCGCGACTTGTTTGCATGTCAGCGTTCGTCAATTACTCGTGCAGCATCTTAATGGCATACAATTATGGAATCACGGATTTTTTCCCCGCGCGATCTCAGTGCCGAGAGCGTGATTCACATATCAGTGCGCGAACGTGATCGACGTCCTTATCGAACGCGGCGATCGGTCGAACGGGTGAAACGTGCAATCGGTGAAACGATCAGCAATAATCGCGCGGAAAACAGTCTCGCGCGTGTTCGACCCGCGGTGGCGTGGCTTTTCGCCACCCAGAAGGGTATCATAGATACGAGTAAAAGTGAAGGGGGGACGATTCTGACCACTATCCCCCGTCCGGTAGGGGGCCATGACCACGTTGCGACAAGGTGACCGCGATAAAACCGCGTTGGTGCAACCAAACATCGCTCGAGTCATATCGCTTTTAATTTCGCTTGCGACAATGCATAATTACCGTGTACTTAAATTAAAACGCAAACTAGAATCTAGAAAAAGATCGATATGTTTAAAGGAACTTTGTTTCTTTTAATTAAAATTACTTTGACCCATTTATCATTATAGTTACTTAAAAAAATTGAGAAATATTTCCATGTTTACTCTGATTCTTCGTGACAAGACCAGTTCGGTCACCGAAATCGCTCAATATGCAGGTCCAGCGTACGCGTATGAAGGACATAAAAAAAACATCGGCGACGAGACGCGCGCGATCCGATCGTCATGCAAATCTCAGCGAGCGCGTTCGCCAAGAAGCGGCCGGTTCTCCGCACGCCACGTGCGCGATGAAAAATATAACGATCTAACAAGTATGCCCGACCGGATCGCGCATTTCATTTCGCTCCGGGCAAGGACGATCGCTGGTTATGCCATCGTCGGCTTTCACGCGGTGAGAAACGTGACGGTATTTTCGATAAACGCATCAGGCACGTTCGTACTTCCATCGACCGAATTGCGTGCCGGCGAAATACCGTGAATTGTAAATCATCACGATCGAGATTCTACATTGAAGCCTCACACGTGTCTTCCCTCATGTAACATTGTCGAGCTTCAAACATGTGGGACGACCTGTTGCACAGCGCGGCAACCGGTGCATCAGCTGCTGCGCGACTGATCTACCTCAATCATCTGCGGATGCGTCTCGTCTACTAAAATTAACGAAGCAAAAGACAGAATTGCATGATTTAAAAAAATTGTTTAATTTAATTTTTTTTTTCTTTTAATATAATTTTTTGTTTATCGTTCGCATTAATTTTTATTTGCATTATTCCTTTATTCTACATATAAAATATAAAATGAAAGGAGATCTCTCTAGCGCGCCATAACACACATTTAAAAGAAAATAAAATTTCGCAAGCGCTGTTATTACCTTGTTAAAAACATATGCTGCGAATCGAACCTTCGGCTCTTCCAAATTAATCATGAGGTTAAGGTCAGAGTTAGGATCTAAAAGGCCTTCTACCGGCTTCGGTTAGCGCCCTATATGGAGCTGCCGATGCCTGCCTTCGCCTGATTCTTTTTTAATCGTCGCTGCCGACGAGCGCCGCGCTCTCTCTTTCTCTCCCTCGCGTTCAAATTTAAAATAAAGATCCTCCTAAGCTCGAAAGTGCGATATCGTATCGAAAGCATATCATGTGTGACATTATAGCACGGGACAGAAAATCTCAGACAGGCCATGGCTGCGCGCCCGTACATGGTCGTCCATTACCTACTTCGCACATGCCTTTTCCGCTAATGGATAACAACGAAAATATCGGCCAGCCTTTACACACGTGTACAAAGTTCGAACCAAGCGATTTACGATCGCTCGCTTCCACATTTGTCGACAAATGCAGCTGCAAAGTATCAGAGCTTGAGCATTTAAAACATGTAAATATCGTATGTTCATTTTCAATTATTTTTGCCTTATTTTATTCCTTCGTGATTGTTCCTTTAAAACCGCGTAAATGTACAATAAATTTTAAAATAAATGGTACTGACACCATTATACGTACGTTTCGTATCGATTATATCCTAATTAAAGCGTGTAAAATTTATTCAGAGTTGGTTCTTGTATTATTTCTTCGGCATATATTACAATATTTTGTAAAGCTTTAAATCACTGATTTCTGATTTTAATTCTTTTCTCGGATTCTTTTTGTATTCTTTTTATTCGATTCTGATTGAATTCTCCTTCGAAATAACCAAAATCGGCAAATGTCAAGGAATGTCAATGGAATGTAAAATGTCTCCATTTCTTTCCTTTGATTTATATACGTTCTTCTTGAGACGCAATCGTATGCTTCATTTTTTGTTTATGTTACACACTCACCATCGGTGTAATCCTTTTTGGAGAACGCGTATCGCCCACTTACGATTCTCCTTGGATCCTCGGCAATCAAATTCTTAGTAATTTATGTTCTGTAAATCATTTTTGGATCTCTTCACAGAATTGCGACAGATTGTTCTAAACACTCGCATAGAAGAATATTTCGCAATTAAGAGGTACGGAAAAATGTGAATATTCTACATTTGCATCTCGCGTTCGAAGTAAACTGCAGCTGTTTAATTCTTATTCCGAGATAACGTTCTATGCGATGTCTGTGTACGAGAGACATAAAATTTAAAATCTGACGACTACATTTAAGCGTTAAATAGAAGAGAGAAGATTATGGACTTCTAAGCCTTTCTGGAGAACGTGCGCGTAGACATTGTCGCTAGCCTCTGCATTCTATTCAGCTGCAAAACTCGCGCGTTCAGGATGTTAATCATTCTTTGTGCGATTTAGCAATCTCCAGTTATTCCCTTATACTCGATCCTCTTTAGATCCTGTCTCGCGGCAACTTTCTCCTCTCCTTTACAAAGTGTATCCGGATAACGGATCGCATACAAATTTTCCTGGCTAACAATTTCCCAGCCGGTGCGCACCTATCTCGAGCGGTTATCAACGATCCTCGCACTCCATCGTTTCGCAAGTGCGGTTGCAAAATCCGCTCTAACTTCGCTAATCCTTTCCGGAGAACGCGCTCGATTTTAGCGCCTCTGATTTCCTCGGGATCGAATGAAATAAATCGAATCGAGATCGCGTCGATCGCTCGTCTCGGCGTGACGAAGCCGGGAAACGACATTGGCGACAGCCGAAACCTCTTTTGTCGCGAGTGAAAGACGTGGGAAGGGAGGGAGGGCCGGGAGTGAGCGCGACGGTGCGTATGCGTGTACATGTATGTATGTATGTGTGTGTGTGTGGTGCAGGAGGACAGAACGATCGGGGACCGGGTGAGACAGAGGGAGAGGAGAGACGAGGTCAACAAGGTGCCCGATATGGTATCCTGCGACCGCCGTGAGTGCTATTTTACTTACACGCACGGGCGGCCGTGTGTACACGCGTGTGCGCGATCGCGCCTTCCTACGCTGCCTACAATTAGCAGCGATCACCATCGGCTGCCGCTAACCTGCCGAATGCAATTTCGCACATCCGCGCGTTTCTCCCCTTTTCACCAGAAAAGTGTCCTTGCGCGGGAAATGC